CAGTTCTTAACATCTATGCCTCAAATGCAAGCGCACCCACATTTGTAAAAGAAACATTACTAAAGCTTTAATCACCCATCAAACCTCACACATTAATAGTGGGAGACTTCAATATCCCAATCTCACCAATGGACAAGTCATCCAGAAAAAAACCAGAGAAATAATAGACCTAACAGACATTATGAATGAAATGGACTTAATAGATATCTACAGAACATTTCACCTAAACACAAAAGAATATACCTTCTTCACAGTACCTCATGGAATATTTTCCAAAACTGACCACATATTCGGTCACAAAGCAAGTCTCAACAGATACAAGAAAATTGAAATAAGCCCCTGCATCCCATCAGACCACCATGGATTAAAGCTGAATTTCAACAACAACAGAAAGTCTATAAACTCATGGAAACTGAACAACTCTCTACTGAATGACCACTGGGACAAGGAAGAAATAAAGAAAGAAATTAAAGACATCCTAGAATCCATTAAAAATGAATGTACAATATACCCAAACTTATGGAGACACAATGAAAGCAGTGCTAAGAGGAAAGTTCATAGCACTAAGTGCCTCCACAAAGAATTTGGAGAGACTTCATACTAGCAACTTAACAGAACATCTGAAAGCTCTAGAACCAAAAGAAGCAAACTCACCCAGGAAGAACAGACAGCAGGAAATAATCAAACTGAGGGCTGAAATCAGTGAACAAAGAGAACAGTATAAAGCAATGAAACAAAAAGTTGGTTCTTTAAAAAAAATCAATAAGATAAACAAAACCTTATCCAAACTAACTAAAAGACGGTGAGAGAATATCAAAATTAGCAAAATCAGAAAAGAAAAGGGGGACATAACAGACACCGTGGAAATCCAAAGAATCATTAGGTCATACTTCAAAAACCTGTACTCCACAAAATTGGAAAATATAAAAGAAATGGGTAATTTTCTTGATAGGTACCACTTACCAAAGTTAAATCAGTATCAGATCAAGAATTCAAATAGACCTATAACCCCTAAGGATATAGAAGCAGTCATTGAAAATCTCCCAACCAAAAAAAATGCCAGGGCCAGACGGTTTGATTGCAGAATTCTACTAGACTTTCAACAAAGAACTAATATCAATACTCTTCAAATTAATGCACAAAACAGAAACAGAAGGAGCATTGCCAAATTCACTTTATAGTGCTACAGTCACCCTGATACTTAAACCACACAAATATTCAACAACGACAGAATTATAGACCAATTTCCCACATGAACATTAAAGCAAAAATACTCAATAAAATACTCAAAAACAAAATCCAAGAACACATCAAAAAGACCAGTCACCAGGCTGGGCGGTGGTGGCACACGCCTTTAATCCCAGCACTCGGGAGGCAGAGGCAGGCGGATCTCTGTGAGTTCGAGGCCAGCCTGGACTACCAAGTGAG